ATATATATATATATATATATATATATATATATATATATATATATATATGCATGTGTATTACACAAGTGGAACCATCTCTCTCAAATCTTATGAACAGTAGCCACCAAAACCACCTGCTTTCTAGTGGTGATCTACACAACAGGACTATGACAACGCTCCTCAAATCCACATACCTACTATCTGAGGAGGAGAAGGGGAGAGGAAAATAGAGGTGGCAACCAGAAAGCCCCAACCTTTAGGCCTTTAGTTCCCTTATATTTATAGAGGCTCCTAATTAACACAAATGGATCCTACCCTATTGGGTATAGGATCTCCATCCAATTACTCAAGCATCTTAGTGGGTCTCTACCCAATAATCTCTTATTAACTCTTATTGGATCTCATCCATAGGATCCAATAATTCACGAGCTTATTGGATATCCAATAAGATAGGGACTCTAACAAATATCTCATATTCGAACCTCTACTCATCGCAACCCCTACGATATATGTGTGACCTTCTAGGCCCAATATCGAGCTGGTCGTGAGTTATATCTATTAGAACTCTTTTTGAATCAATGAATTATTATCTTCATAATAATTCACTCAACTCATTGATTGCGGATGTACTAAGCCACTACGTCGTAGTCCCTAGACGATACAGGAGAATCTAATCTTTTGGACCTATCTGTCTTCAACTATCATGTACCTATAGTCCCTCATTCATCTAATATCCAAAAATCATATACCAGACATGATGCTGTTAGATCAATACGGTTTTTCCTCGAGTCTCGTAATTGGATTCTCCCGTAGAACTCATTCTCTCTCAATTCGAACAATCTTGGCCAAGGATTTATATGAGTAAAAACACACAGGAAATTCCTCTCATGATATCGAGAGTGAATGATCCTTTATCGACATTCAATAGTCCTCGTAAGGTTGGTTGTCACTCCCAATGACCAACTATACTAAATCTGAAACTTCCAAACCTATAAGTCTGATATCAAAGAGTGGAGTGCTCATACAAAACATCTTTAGTGTCTCAAGTCTAAGGACCAGATATATTATTGGGTCTACGAAATCGTTATTTGACAATAAGGTATCATTAATCATCCAACATTCAGTAAGCGGATCAATAAGTAAATTTATTCTCCAATGAGCACCTGCATTGTATCCTTAGTGTCCTCACACGAGCAGCTTTGAAACCAGTCGTCTCCATCATATGGATGAGTATACAGTAACACTAGTTTATGACCTGTGTTTAAAGGTAAATCGGTCTCATGATCTCATCACGATCTGATTCCTATTGCACAGATCCATGAACATCACAATATATTTATGCAACAAGTAATATAAAGTGATAAATAATAATAATAATAATTGAAAAGACTGCATGTCATATCACATGTGTCATCACTCACGTGATTAACTTGCAAGACACTTATGACTAGTATGAGTTGGCCGCTCGAGGAGTCTACGACCATTAATAAACCATGTACGATCGACCTTCGTTTGTAGGTATAAAAGTCAACCTCCTTATTAGCGTTAGAGGTTGAACTTCGAACACTCAAACTCCCCCTAACACTACTCAACACTGACTTAAGCTTTGGATAAGTCGAGTCGGGAAATCTCCCTCCTGACTTTGGTTTATGTACAGGAACTCGATGACGAAGAAGCAACAATCCGATGAGAGAGGAAGAGCAACTCCTTGCTTTACTCAGATCAATTATAGAGATGAAGCCTGGACCTAACCTGACACCGACTACCCTATTCGAGCAATCACTTGGGCGACTCTACACACTCAGAATCAGATCAACCCATGCTGACCCATCAATCACGATATAAAGTTACTCAACATTTAGGTTTCATGCGTGCTCTACATCACAAGAACATAATATATTGGTTTAAAGAAAATTAGAGAAAACCATGAAAGATTAAACAAATGCGATGCACAAAAGGAATCGGAAGAGAAAATGGCAGAAAAATGACCATAACACCGCATGTAAATTTTCAGAACTCTTCACAAGCAAGAATTATTAAATATCACTAGACATGGACAAGAAAAAGACATTGAAGGAACATAAATAAATCTCTAACTAGGGAAATTTGGTCAACAGTCCAAACACTCGCTATTGCCCTCCAACATCATGGAAAACATATCGAAGAAAAAGCATGTTGATCTGGATATGCTTCGATCAAAATATTATTTGTAATAGTTATTCCTTCCCATGAAGATGGGGTTATCCATCGATCGAGCAGAACTATATGTTTATTCATGTGTGTATTATTTACGAAACGACGAAGACTTCACATATATACAAATGTTTGAGTTTATTCGTGCACTACCTACCCATATGTAAGCGCGTGTGGATTACACACGTGGAACCATCTCTCTCAAATCTTATGAACAGTAGCCACCAAAACCACCTGCGCATGGAGAAGCGTGGCCAAAGGGTCTGTGAGTGCATCTACTTTCCGAGAAAGGAATAAGGTAAAAGCCATTTCACGCTGAGAAACCTGCATCTTCTCCTCCAAGATTACGCTAGTGGAAGTTTCTTCGATGGGCTAGACATGGACATCCAAATCGCACACCCGCCGGACCAAAACCACCGATTGCAGCGAACCTGCCGTAATCTCGGCCTCGCACAGGAAACCTCGGGGGACCAACTGGGTTAAACCCTAATCTCAGAACCAGTGGAGCAAAGCCTGCAATGGCATGGAACCGGTCATAATCTCCACCTAGCACAGGAAACCTCCGGGGACCAACTGAGTTAAAATAACTGGGGCTGCCGAGTAGGTTCGACCTTTCTGTCATCTTCTCAGCTTCCATCATCCTCACCCGGCATTTCACATACTTCTCTTTCCAGCTTCTGCCCGTAATTAGCCTCCCGTTCACCGACCCAATCTCCACATGAAACCTCCGCTTCCAAAGATGGTCATCTGATGACAGAAAACGTAACTCAGAACAAGTGCACCCGATCTTTGCGAGATCAATGGCTGAAACATGCTTTAGAATGTGGAGCTGGAGTTCGGCTGGAAGGCGCATGAAGCATGTGGGAGAAGGTAGCCCATTCTTACGGCATATATCAATAAGGAGTGGCAACGTGAGTTCATCTTTCACAACCTTCCATAGTCCAAAAACCTCCTTTTCCTCTTGTTCGCTCAGAGAATCCATAGATAAAGATAACAAAGATGCCAGCTTTGACAGATCAATACACACTCGGTACACATCCTGATGATCTCCGGTCAGAAATCCATAGACAGTCGCATAATTCCCCATCATCGAGAACCTCAACATCGCCACTTTGACGTCCCTTGTGTCGACAGCACCCACGAGCTCAGGAAGAGTGTATTGAACGGAAAAAGTAGCAGCTTTTGATGGACGTCCTGTGGGCAATCGGGATCCACCGCCACTGACCACAAATCCGGACTCGAGAAAAGCGGCATGGAAGGTGACGACCAGGCGACCCAGAAGACCCTCGGCTTCTCCCTTCTCGGCTTCCATGACCCTCTTAAGAAAATATGGAACTGACAGAGACTTCCCCACAAAAACGGGCTCTGCGTCCGATGCCAGTGTATCATCTTGTTGAACCACCTCCGCTTGAGGTGCACTCAAATCCGACGCTATGGCACTGGGGTTATCCTGCGTCAACACCGGCGCAAGATTCGAGCTTTCCGCAATGTCCATTGAAGTAGCGACAGAGGAAGATAATAAGTTTAGGGTTTGAGCGTGCAGGCGGACCGGTGTCTCGTCCACGGCACTGGGGGTCTCTGGCGGAGGAACTGGGGCAAGATTCGAGCTTTCCACGGTTTCCTCCGGAGCGGGGGCCGAGGAGGGGGACGGGGCTAGGGTTTGTGAGGCAGGGACGATGTAGAAGAAGATGAGGTTGCCGGAGGTGAGGCCGAGGGAGTGGAGCGAGTCGTGGGGAGAGGGAGGAAGGAGCTCGTCCTTGCGGTTAAGGGAGAGGCGGATTGACCCCGGCGGGATCGAGATCGAGGAGGAGGAAGAGAGGGCGCGTGCGATGAGGGTTTTGAGGTCGTGGAGAGAGGAGGGGTCGGGGGCTTGGATCCTCAGCGTCTCCTTCGACGCCACGGAGCGAATTCGAAGCTTCATATCTCCGGACAAGCTCGATCGCAAAACGAGAGGGGAGAGGAGAGATCGAGGCCTTCGTTTCGATTTATAGGGCACCGCGTTTCCTTTGGAACAAAGGGAACTTATGTAGAACTTTAATGGCGCTGGTAACTGCACCGCACACTTGCGAGCAAACGACGGATACCTGAGACACGTGACTTTTGAGATGCGTGCAATGCTTGATCTAATCAATCGGAAGGATAGCAAGCGAAGTTCTCGAATAGGACTCATAATTACGACGGTATTTACTAAAGTCAAATTTCAAACCATTTAGGAATTAGAGTTTAAAGCTTAAATACACTTTGTACGTGCATCAAATTGACACAATAATATGACCAAAAAAATTAACATACGAAACTATAATCGGCATTTTATATAGGGAAGTTTTTATCATAAGATATTATCATTTGTAATCATTTTTTACTATTTATAATCATATTTTAAATTTTTATAATATTTATAAACTATTATTTTACATATAAAACTTAAATATCATTTTTTTTTCCTTCTCTTCTTCTTCTTTTTCCTTCTTCCTCCTTAGAGGTTGCAGAGGTTGGGGGTGAGCGACCATAACAAGTAGTGGCGAGGATGAAATAAAAGATAGCGAAAAAAAAGATAAAATTAGTAATACAAGGGTTATAAATAATAAAAAAATATTATTATTTTTAAAGGTCAATAGTAAAGATTATGAATGTTAAGCTTCTTTACCAAATGACGCTCCCTTAATTAGGAAGCTTACTATACATAATCTTTTTTATTATTAAAAATCCATTACTATTAATTTTTTAATAAAATATTATTTTACTATTTACATGTTAAGTATTATCGATTTTATCTCTTTTTTCTTCCTGTAACACTGCGCTCCTTATTGATTATGTCACTCTTTGTTGATACTCTCCGTCCTCGCTTATGCTCGTCACCCTCTTGACGTCGTCTTATAAAGAAGAAGAAAATGAGGAAAGATAAGAAAAAGAAAAAAAAGGAGGAGGAGGAAGAAGGAATAAGAGGAGGAAAAGAGGGTCTTAAAGTCCTTTTAGAATGGCTAGTTTAGTAATATTAATTTTTAAAAAATAAGATTATAAGTAGCAAGGAGGGGGTTGCTAATTGTGAACTTTCTTAATTGGTTTTTACCTAAAGGTATATCTTTTTTTTAAATTTGATAAAAATACTCTTTGCACTTCATCAATTGTCCTCGATCGTCATCGCCACCACCCTTGACTACTATCACCTCTACTATCCCCTACTCTCACCATGAGTACCATTAATCACCACCCTCTTTTCCCCACATCACTCGTCGTCTCCCCTCCTTGGTTGATTGCTTTTCTTTATTGCTATGGGAGTAGGTGAGTAGAGCAAATATACTTTTATGCATTGTTGCTCGCAGGCGGTAGCTTTGTCTCCCTTCCTTAGAGTAGAGCAAATATACTTTTATGCATTGTTGCTCGTAGGCGGTAGCTTTGTCTCCCTTCCTTAGCAAGGTCGCTTATGCAAACAAATGAGTAGGCACCTTCGTCACTATTGTTTATCATCCTTTAAGTGAAGCTCCTCCATACGTGACAAACATTTTGCCATTGCTTTGACTATCATAATTATGTTACATCTAGGTTATCTCTATTACTAGCATCCTAAATATGTACCTCTACTTTCCCACCTAGAGGTGTCAATTATGTCCATGGATACATGTACCCCTACGGACCAGTTTCTACGGGGCGAGGATAAGAGAAATAAGTGAGGATGGGAGATATTTTCTATTACCCACACATTTATGAGACAGAGACGGATAAAGTAATTCTCATCTTGTTCTTATTCCCATTTCCGCCCTATCAATATGTGAATCTAGACAATGGGCTCAAACGTTGGGTGAGCCAAGCCCTTACCTAATTTGAATCAGGTTGGGTTGAGTCTTGGTTGAGTCAATTGTATTGCATTTGATTCAATTAAGCCGGATAAAACAATATCAACACGATAATACAATTGTAACTCATTTATATTTGAATATTATTATGACATCTAAAATTATAAAAATTATTATTTATAAATTTAATATTACTAATTAGTTTTGATATTAAATTTATTTTTTTAAAAAAATAAAATAATATAATTAAAATAATATGGAAAAGATACGGTTCCATGTCCTTACCCCTGCCTCATCCAAATGAGAATAGGGTAAGGATAGGGAATAGAGAATGAGACAAGGATGGGAATGAAAAAATACTCCTCGTCTTACCTCATAGACATCTCTATACTTACCTACTACTACGATACGGAAGAGGGGAGGTGGAGAAGGGTTAAAGGAGGAGGCAGACGAGCAATGCCACTCATGGTGGGAATACGAGTGACGATAGTGGCAACGACCATGATAACGATGACGATCGGAGGTGATAAGGAGGCAATGATTATCGGAGATAGTTGGTGAAGAGCGAAGGATAGTTTTATCAAATTGATGAAAAAGGAATGCCCCTAGATAAAAACCAATTAGAGAGCATCATTTGATAAAAGTTCAACATTAAAATTTTTTTAGGTAAAATACCTAACTATAATCTCACTACTTGTAACACTCTTCTTCTAGTTTCCAATATAGCCTATATGCATGACTAAAATAAGATGTCACTTTTTTATTTATTTATATTGTCAATAATAGCATAGCAAAATAGTAAACAAATTTGAAACATGCTAACTTACTAAACATATATGATTTTTTCTATGCACAGTGATATTTGACACTTGTACGTAGTTATAAACAAATAAACCTCAACTACCATATATTTACATATTATATTTAAAATTTACATACATAAAATATGCCTACATATTATTGGCATGGGCCGTATCCACTCACCTTTTTACCCATCACATAGATGGATGAATATACATGAATGCTTATATATACTTCAAATAACATTTGAAAAAAATTATGTATAATATTTTTGAAAGCATGTATAACTTTTGAAGTCGATTATGCTTTCATTAATAATTGTATGTGTGAAAATTATACTCCTCTTGCTAATAATTGATCATTTATTATAACTTTTATAAGATTGGACTACAAAATAAACTTCTTTTTTCTAAGCTACAATTGTTTTTAAAAAAATTATAAATCAATTTAAATAATTAAAAATTTTATTTTTAGTTTTTTGAAGAAAATGGAAGAATCCTTAATCTTTATGATTCTAAAATAGTTGATAGCTTGATGTACTATTTTTCAACTGCAAAGAAGACTAGAAAATAAGTTCACAAATCAACCAAAGGGAAAGATTATATATATATATATATATATAGAGAGAGAGAGAGAGAGAGAGAGAAAATCCATGCGGAACTCAGTGTACAATTAACAAACAAGATTCACTTTGAAAATACTTAAAATGCTGGATATGTATAGTGAAAGAGAACATCAAGGAAGATATCTTACCATGAAGTGACATTCCATGATAATCCACAAGCATAATACATAGAGAGGAAGCTTGCGGGGAGTTTGCTGAATGTGTGTTAAAATACATACGAAGCTAATAGTCATTTAAGCTAACCATTTATGGATCAGATTGCATACATGTACATCATTCAACAAGATAATGATAGGACTTTAGGGCAAATATGACTCTTTTTGTTAATCTACAACAAACATGATATAGATTGCTATGGAAAGATCGGGTTAAGTTTTGCCTTAGATTTCACCTCTGAAATATGGTGGGCCGAAGAAGGAGCTTGAGAATGTGCCACCACCGTTTGGAAATAGGGTGAGGAAGCAAACCAAGGCCAAGACGAATCCCCACGCATACCGGTCATCTCCCATTGGTGTTATCTCATCCCTAGCAGGCAACTCTTCGCCACCACGGAAGAATGTTGAAAACAAGCCCCAGGCCAGACACAGCACGCTACCGCTGAGGCCACCTATTCCTAAAAGTAATGATGTGCCAAAAGACAGAAGGGTCGCGGTGTTCCTTCCGAAGAGAGCCTGCGCTATACGCCCTCCTTCAAGCCTTCCGCATGGCAGTAAGTTCAAGGATGTCACAACCATTCCTGCAGCATGATCACCAGCAGATAGTAAATGGCCCTGAATATCATGCCGAAAAAAAAAAGAATGGCCAGTGTCATCTGATGCTATCACAACTGAACAAACATTTCTAGTTTCACAATGGATAAGGAACATGCTAGAAATCCTAAATGATAATATCAGGCTGGATGACTAACGGAGAGTCATGATAGAATTATTACAGGATAAAAGTATGCATTGGTGACTTCAACTGTCCGGTTAAGTCTTTAAGAGTCACACAGTGCAGAGGCATGATAAGATGTCTGCATGTGATCTAATAAATATGAAGAGAACCTTTACAATTGACAGGATAACTAGCACTTGTTAAAGCTATATCAACATTCCACAGTATCTGCAATAAAATTTAAGAAAAAAATGAATTGAAGGAGATTGTAAGTAGAGAGCTCAGACATGTCTTCAAGCATCAGGAAGAAGATGGATTGAAGGAAATTGTAAGAAAATTCTAAAGCTTTGGTGAGAAAGGACAATTTGTTCTTTACTTGTATTCAATAAAATTTTCTTATTAGTGAACATGAACAATTTACCGTGGTTTTTTTTTCTTCCCCAAGTCAATAACTTAGATGTCTATATATCTGATCACTTATATCTTAGAGCCACGCAAGGAGTGACACAAAGGATGCTTAAAAGTGCATCCCTGAAGCAACTATGATCAATGTACACTAACTAAATTATCGATTTATTATAAACCAGATTTATATCCAAAAAAAGAAAAATACAGATTTATTATAAACCAGCGCACCTAAAAGTCCAGCAAAAGCAAGAGGATCAACAGGCACCCCAACCCCTTCAACAGCATTAGGTAATACATTACCTAGTTCATCTGCATAAGGTCCTATTACAAGTTGAACGAAAGAAAGAAGGGGATTGTTATAGAAGAACTGAGGCCTAATAAATCTGCAAAAAAATATAGAAAAACAGATCATGAGACATATTGCTGTGAAGGTCTTC